GGCAGAGAGAGAGAGAGAGAGAGAGAGAGAGAGAGAGAGAGAGAGAGAGAGAGAGAGAGAGAGACAGACAGACAGACAGACAGATAGAGAGAGAGAGGAGGGTGTGTCGTACATTATGTAATAACATAAAAGACCATATTATAAAAAGGGCAATATGCGATGCTTAAACCCGAAAAAAGAAAGAAACAAAGATAAGTATTTCGTCTAAACTGGGAGAAGTTTAAGTCGATAGAGGCATACTCTACCTTTTTAGTCTTAAGATCTTTTTAAGCAGGATTTAGTTCCATTAGTTTAGTCTGTTGGGGATGAAAACTACTGAAGAAATACTACGAGGTCTGTCCGAAAGCTAAGGCGAAAATAGTTTTATTACAATAAAATAAGTCATTGCTATTTTCTAACTGTAAATGGTTAAGATTGACCGTATTCTGTTTACCCTTTTCCCAAGTAGGCTTTTCTGACATATAACAAAGAAACATTAATCTTCTTGGAGAGTTTGTTCAGATTGCTAATTTTTTAGACCCTTTTTTAGATGATTCTTGTTTACCCCGTTTGTAGAACAGCCCTTTTATTACGTCATTTCAAAGGCAGAGCATTTTTTAAATTATGTGTTTACGATACAAACATTTGGATCATTAGATCGTCTGTCAGGGTCAACCCGGGCTGAGCAGAATTCAACGTCCCGGCAGAAAGACAGAGATACATTGTGATCTCAAAAAAACCTATACAACTTTTTGTAGTAAACATTTTCCTCCACACTCCAATTTTGCGTTTTAATTTTGTACACAACATTTTGAAGTCAAAAGGAATTTGTCTGATTTACATTTTGAGATAATTTCACAGAATAGTTTTGCTCTACATAGTGCGTGAAAAAATCAACCCATTTTCAGCTATGTCCCCATTTTTGTAGCATGACGCACTTGTTCGCATTAGACCTACCGTTAAAAGTCCCAACGATCATGCCATATTGAAAGCTACAACACTCTAACAAGCCAACAGAAGTTTGCAAATAGTTTTTCTCAAGTTTCTTTTGCCTGATGAGATCATGGTTAAGATTAGTAACTAACAGGGAGCTTTTTGTATTGAACATTTCCTCACCGCCAACTCATTTCGTAAGTTTCGCTCAAGGAACGGTAACAATGTTAAAGTTCCCTTAATGCCTTCTTTGATGTCAATGATGGAAATGTTCCACTAGTTAGGACCTGTAGAGAATCAGAAAAAAATCCCAGGCAAAACGACCACTTCAGATCAAACACACACTGTTCGCACCCCTTTAAACGTCACCAACTTCGGAAGATGAGCTCCATGAGATGTCTTTCCGTAGACTATGTCTGCAGCAAGGACTGTCCTACATCTCAACAGTCCGTATTTTCAAGGTAGATCTTCATCTACGACTGTACCAATTTCCTGTTCGCGCAACTGACATGAATCAGAAGATAGCAATGTGTTTGTGATTCCTCGATCGTCTTGAAAAACGTCAACATTCCTGTATAACATTTAATTCCTTAGCGAAGCCCATATGCACATTTCAGGATATCTTAACTCCACAAATGCCTATTTGGGCAACCACACCCACCACCCTGTCTCTAGAAGCAACTCCAAGCTGTAAGATGTACAAATGTAGAGCTTTGAGTACTCATGGCTGGGTGGATCTTTGTTTTTGGCCACCACTAAACGTTGCGAACGACGAGTTAAAATATGACGATTCCGCAAGAGGACATACAGAGCCCTAGTTCTCGGGATTCTAGAATTAATTTTTTTTCCTCTAAAAGTCTGTAAGATTAAAGAATTGGTTTTTTTAAAGAAAAGATAGGGGAAAAAACCCAACAACCATTGTAATTTCATGACCCTCCTTAAATTAGAAAATCTTTTAAGTTGGTGCATTTTGCGTTTATAGGTGGTTTTTATAAAAGCCATTTCCGTTTTCGAAAACAGTTTTCTTCAAACAAATTCCTTTTGAATTAATTATATATGTTCCAAATTACAACATTCTAGTACAAACTTTGTTTGAGACATTCCAAAAAAAAAGTTGTACAGTAGGGATTTTTTGGGGACCACCCTGTACTCGATAAAAATCATCCCCACATGCGAATCGAACTCAGGTCTTCTGTGTGCGTCGGTGAGGTGCTTAACCGCTACATCACAAAAGCAGGCGCAGAGCACTTAATTGGTCCTCGTGTCAAAACTCTACACTGCGATAAAAAATTCCAGGAAGGATTAGATAATTTTCCTCTCAGGATCGAACTTTAACCCACCATGAGGCAGATGAAGTTTTTAGTCTAGAGAGTTACATGTATCAGCCTGTTCTTGTTATCGGTATTAGAAGAATGCTGAGAATGACGACGCCACTACTACGATTTGTCACTTGTGTCAAGTACATGTCACATGATGTGTGATAATGACTGTTGACTTTGCAGTAATAGATAACTCATCACGACTGTCAGAATGAGATTATTGGTGACTCGAACAGAACCAGCTTCGTGACAACGTGAAAATGGTCATAGCTCCGTGGGATGCAGTCTGCTATAGTACATAATGTGTGATATCGTGTCACACAATAGGGTAGTGTAGGGTAACGTAAGCTATGACGTGCTGTTGTATGGTATGTTTTGCCATAACGTTCTTATGCTATGCTTTGCTATGCAATACTGTGCAATGCTTTGCTATGCAATACTGTGCAATGCTTTGCTATGCAATACTGTGCAATGCTATTGCTATGCAATGCTATGCTATGCTACGGTGTTGTGTACTGTGGCACTGTAGGGTATGCTGCGGTAGACTATGGGTGGGTCCAATTAATGATGAACCCTGATTTCAGAGGCCTCGCCACTTGAATGCCATTATAGTGGTCAAAACCAAAGGTGCGTTACACCTGCACTGTGTAAACAAGCCAAAGTCCCAAAACAACCCCCCCCCTCCCCCACATCCCCCTTTATTCTGTTCATTTGGGAATTACTTGACCTACTATGTACATTCACACTATGAATGGGATCTCCATTTTCTGTGAAGTCACATGTGGATCGCCATGACGTCAGTCACGAAATACGCTTTTAACTTACCAGCGTTTTTAAAAAAGGGGGAAAAGGGTGAGGGGGGGGGGGGTGGTTCAAGAAGACTTTTGTCAAATATACTAATCAACTGACAAAGTAAAACTGTGTGACGTCATCAGCAATAACAAATACACGTACAATGATAATCGTAACTCCAAGAATATGCCCCTCACAAGAACAGTGATGACAACTACAATAACTCATTATTATAGCAGTGACAACAGCAGCAACAACTACAGCAACAACAATAGCAACAACAACAACACAGCAACAGCAACAACAACTGCAGCAACAGCAACAACAGCAACAACAACAACAATAACAACAACAACAACAAAAATAAGAACAACATCAACAACACCATCAACAACAACAACAGCAACAGCAACAGCATCAACAGCAACAACATCAAAAACAACAGCAACAACAACAACAACAACAACAACAACCTGTTGTAGCTACACATCAAACTGTAAGTGCCTGCAGTCACACATCGACGAAAGGCGGGTAAGAAAGTCGTTTTCCAGTCGCGGTCAGATACCTGAGTGTAGAAGAAAAACAAACGGTATAGTGAAAAGTCGGTGACATAGTGTTACGGCTCTCGGACTCGCACCCGTAAGGCCGTAGGTTCGAATCATGTCAGACGCCTGACTTTATGCGCTAGGGAAAGGTGCTTCACACACATTTCCCTTCTTTAATTCAGACTGGAATAGGTATCCGTCTAAAAACAGTGAGAGATCTTGTCAGTTTGTTAGTGTTTGAGCACTTAATCAGCTGCTAGATCTAGCATTGTTTGCTTTCCTGGAAGCCAAAAGTGTCTCTAAGTAATATAAGGTCAGCTGTGGTAATTATGAAGAGTAGATTCCAAAGAGTTTGCTGTTGAGCGAGGATATGCAATACACAAATGCCTTTTATTATTATTATTATTATTATTATTATTATTATTATTATTATTATTATTATTATTATTATTATTATTATTATTATTATTATTATTATCATTATTGTTATTATTATTACTATTAATTCTATTATTTCTGTTATTATTATTATTATTATTATTATTATTATTATTGCTATTATTACTTTATCAAAAGTGCACAGTTCAGTGTGAACAAACACTGGGCTTGGAAGGGAGACTTCTTGCATCAAGTTAAATGTAACTAATAGTATTTCTAACACAAAATATCGCCATGACCATATTCTCTGAAAAATATAAAGCTTTGACTAAACGTATGTTTTGTTGTTTTTTTGTTTTTTTTGTTTTGTTTTGTTTTTATTTAAATCAAAAACTGAAAAACTCTTCTGCTTCATAAATGCCCAGTAATGGGGCACAACTTTTCAAGCAGTTATTACTCTCTCCTAACAATTAATAAATTGTCCTGATGTTTCCAGTGCCCGTGCACTCATACTCACAATAGCATTGAAACTCATCCTGGAGACGGGAATATTCTCTGGACCAGCGTACACGTCAAAGTGTTTGCAGCCGGCGTTCGCCCTGATGTAGCGAGGGTGATCACCCTGAAGGCCTTGCACGAAGCTAGCCGCCAGCTCACCGCTGAGAAACGGGTCCTCTCCGAAGGTCTCCTGAAAAAAAAACCGGAAAGTTTTATTGGTTTAGAGTACCGTCGGTTGATTGTAAATTTGTTACACCTTTTTCATCTATATTATTGAAAGGGAGTTGAGATATTTTTGACTGAGGGAGGTGGAGTTCGCCTGTTGTGAGAGGTAAAATTAGCGTGAAAATAGCCACCAACGTTTGGTGACTTCCCAAGCTTGAGTGTCCTTGGAAACTACAAGTTTACATTTATGTCCTTTCAATCAATGTCTTCTGTAAAAATGAAAACATACATGTGTTGTTAAATGGACATAAAAGGTGTTGGGGCCCCTCAAAATAAATTCGATAGAAATGCACAACGAGCGTAAAAAAAAGAAATGCCAGTTTCTTTGAGTTCATTATTTCGATGAGCGCCTGATTTTACCCCAATGCCACACCTACATTATAGATTATTTTGAAGGCTGGCTACTTCAACTCTGCCTGTGGCGGCCAATACAAGCCGAGTGAGATAAAATATCCGAGAAGAGACAGATGAATATACTTTAAAACAACATCAAACAAATCCCTACTCTAAGATTCGAGCTCAGCTCATCTGAAAGCAATGGCTAAAAGCCTAACCACACAGACGCTGGGTTGGAGATATGGTATGGTCGGATAGGGTATGGTATGATATGGTATGATATGGTATGGTATGGTATGGTATGGTATGGTATGGTATGGTATGGTATGGTATGGTATCCTGTGCTATACTATGCTATGCCATGCTATGGCTCTATACGTTCTGCGAGGTCATATAAACAGCGATATGATCGGATTTAACGCACATCGCCTGTAGCAAAAAGCCATTGTCGGAGCAGAAACCTGAAATTTGTCCAAACAACCTATGTCCAATAACGCCCTGCTGGGGTTCGAACCAGGGTCATTGGGAATGTAGAACAGTATGATGCCAGCTGAGATATTTTTGTATAAAGGGGTGGGG